ATCTTCCAGGCTCTCATCACTGGTACGTAATTTTTCAAACCACCACTGTGCTGTGCGTTGATTCATCATACCTAGATCTAAGTCATCGTTGATATCCCGGTCCGTTTCCGTCGCACTCCTGCCCAATTTGGATTGGAAAAGAAAAATCATGCGGATCTGTCGTTTGTCCATGCTGATTTCGACCTTCTAAAAAACCCCAGGCATCACTCAGGGCAAAACCGATTATATATTTGGATAGAGCAAGAAATGCGCTTCAAAATGGTATAAAACCTGCAAAAAATCTAATAGCAAATAACATCGCGGCGAGCATTTGAAAATTGGGCGTCAAAAACCGCAAAAACTTTCTTCACGACCTAATAAATCGCGGATCGAAAGTCACCGTTATCAGTCTAGAGGCGTTTAAATTCAGATTCTAGATTCGGTTTTTCAATGAGTGGGGTGAGGGCTGTGCAATACAGAAAACGATGCTTCAAGGCCTTTATTCACTTCGCTTCCCTTGTAAACTTATGGGAAGATTCTGTTACTGGCAACATCGACGTGGAATATACCACGCTCGTCGAATATTTTCAAGATGGGGTTAAGAAAGAGAGAGTTAACAAGCTCTCAAGAGACGATCCTCTACATAGGCTCTTGCGCTGATTCGCAGGAGTGAAGTTACGCGGACTACCTGCTATCAATAGCAAACGTCCGAACTTGAGAGAGTAGGAAACGGTTAAGAAGGATCTGAAAGATAAAAGAGCAGTAGTTACGGACGAAGTTGCCAAGGATGGAAAGAGCATTCGCAAATCCCGGCGGAGTTTCGCCGAGTTCAAGTCCAAGATGACTTCCCTGCGTCGTCCTGACGGAGCAGTTACTGCATCTCCTAGGGTAATGGAGAACGTCATCTACGGTTTCTAATTAGATCTCGTCGACTTCCACGTCTATTTACCTACCCGCCACCTTAGGCAAGACGGATATGTCGATTCCTTGTCGTTCTCCCCTCTCAAATTCTACACGTCATCACGTCCAAGCAAATTTCAATGGCGCCATGTCTCTATAGGAACAAAGGTACTAGGTTGCGAATGGTGCAATCTCTACAACGCTGCCTGAACTAGCTCGCCTTTGGATGTGGCGAATAGCCGAGGTAATCTTCGAACCATCATGAAGCCCTATCATGCCGTTTTCTGACCTTAAAGTGCCACAAATGGTATCCGAGAGGGCCATGTATCAATCCCAGCGGCACAACTCAGAAGCCGTTTTTAACTTAAACTGTGTCTTTAACGAAGACAATTTTTTGAGGAACGGGTCGCTACCTGATATTCCCTCAAGCTAAGCCGAATATCTCTGAATGAATATCTCCGAATGCCCTAGCAATGTGTATCTAGAATGAGATGTTCGACATTGCTCCAGAACTGTGCAGAGTGAACACGCGGCTAGCGGAGCATCGGTGAAGACCGAGTGGACATTGGAAGAGACAGCTTACATCCGGCTCTGCGTTCATTTTCAACATAGCGGTCCTTCCTGCCTTAACATCTGCTTATAAAACTTGGGCTCTACGAAGCGGTACGGGTGTGTAGTCAGGGTCATTTAACGTGCTATGGTCGGGACAATGCGCAGAGTTCCCTTATATACGAAAGCAGAATGAAAACCGATGTTCCAAGCTCTGTCAATGAGCGAAGATCGGATATCACGTGCTTACGCCGAGGAATTGAAAATCAAACCCTTGTTATGTCATGATGACCGTTAGACCAGAGCAGTTACTGAATGGGTCTCTCGGAACGTCAAGCGAACACTGGGAAAGCCACCAGCGCAGTGTTCAGAAATCTTCACGAAAATTTTGAGCGAAAGGAATGCTACGCCTCGTGTCCCTGAAGCGAGGACGACTGGAGACTCTGGTTCGCGAGAGGGACGAATAAAGGCGTTACTGGCTCTGGTACGCGAGAGGGACAAAGGAGGCGTTACTGGCGTCGTCTGAGGAAATCGGTGATTAGGGGGAAGACAGGTGGTACAAGCTATTCCGTTTTACCAGTTGGATCGAACTGATAACGCCATCCCCTCCTCCTTTCGTGTGAAATTTTCTGCCGCCCACGTCTCTTCCTAACATGGTCGCCACGGTAGAGGAGAAGAGCAGGTATAAATTTCCGACAGAACACCTGCGCACACATACACTTATATATTTATATGTACCATATTATACATATATATGTATATATACACTCATACATGATTACATACATCAACAATCAGCCCGTTATATACAGTAGGATGTTCCCGCTGTAGGTATTTTCTTACCCGCGACTCTCGGTAAACTATTTGCTTTATTTCCCAAAGAGTTTTCAGAAATATTGATATCTAAAACATGAAGCATGGTTTACAGCAGACACAAATCAAGGTCCAGCATAATGCAGATTTCGCTAGGCCTATTGCCGTATTGGTCGTGGTTTTGAAGTGAAATGAGGGTCCCAGCACGAATATGCTACGCAGTCAGGGCATACTGCTTGCGTCTCTCAGCGTCGCCCATTTTTTCCTTTTCTGCCGTCCACCTTCGCGTTGACGGTAGCTTCCTAAGTTTTGTCCTTAAGGAGTTATGTGCTGAATGTGGTGTCTACTTCTCAACACCTCAGTTTTCCTCCAACCGCGATAGACGGGCACTCATACTCTGCTTGCGGGGAACGCTCCCTTCCACTGTAGTCGTTGGATGGGTAATGAAAGGAGAAGTTTCTCTTAGTTCTTTTTACAATTCAGATTCTTTGGGCTCTCTGTCACATTTAAAAGTGAAGTAGCTCTGCTGCAGCCTCGTTCTTTTTTCGAATTTCATTTTTTTTCAAAATTTTAAACAATTACAGATAACTTCTAGGTGTTCTCGGTGTGTGAAATTAACTTTAGATTGTTGTTCAATTGCGAACAACATTTTGAAGCAGCTGTGATCTATCATACCTTTGAAGTAGTAGTCCAAGTCCGATGCAATGATCAAGCAAATAGAGCCGTCCACTTTTCTCCATTTCAGAAAAAACAGAAAGCTGGTCACCCAGTTCTGAAGCGATTCAGCCAGCAATAATGGCTCAAACACGTGGAATTACATATCCGAGTGAGCATCAAATAAATAAGGTCATCTCGTGAAACGGGTGTTTTCCGTGACGTTTTGAGTTTTGTGAACCTTGTTGGCTGCTTTCAGACTTCAACGACGCAACAGGCGTGCTTCCGTCCGTCCGTCGCGTGCTTGCGTGCGAGCAGCGGCAGCGCTAGCCACTTGTTGAAACAATGAACGCCGATGGATCACTTGCCAGTGTGGTCAGTAAGTTGCTAGCGCCTTCGTCGCTCGCACGCACGCGACGGACGGAGCTCGCACGCACGCGACCGACGAGCGCACGTCTGTTGCATCGTTGAAGTCTCAAGGCAGCCACTCATCACAACTTCTCTTAGAAGGACCGGGATTCCGTTCTGAATTTTCCTGGTTGCCATTCTTGATTGGAAGTGAAAGTTTGTAAATTCCAGGCCGTAAAAGCCAAGGTGAGACGCCTGAATGGGAACAAGAAAATGACGAAACGTCCAAACCTTCGAGCAGCTTGGCAAGGTATGCCAAAATAAATCGAAGGCTAACTCATGTTATTATTTATGATTTCAGATCCGATGGCGTTCCTAAGCAATACTCGTCAGAGAATTCAGAGAATGAAAAGCTCAACAGGAAGTCAAAGACGGCTCTGACGGCAAGTTACTACGCTTGAATTTCCAATATCAGATAATAATTGTTGGTGTTTGTCAGTAAAAACCTCAGATTCTTTGTACCCTTCAGCAGCAACTGGTATGCTGCCCTCGTTTATTAAGGAGTAATATGATGATGATCCCTATCCTCTTATAAAATATTACACGGCTGAGCTAGAAGACTGGAACCATTCATTCTAATAGGCAAAAATATGGAAATTGTTTGGGGCGCGACATGGATTGGCGGAGTTTCTCATGAACTCCCGTCATATGCCCGTTGTAGCGTTGTATATGTAATAGCTTACTTATAATATTCAGACCTTTAGAAATACTATCTATTGCACCTAAAGTAGCGGAAAGCTTTACATTACATATAGAATAATCAACTTCAGGAAGTGACTAATGGATATGGATCAACGGAGCCGACCCTGAAATCTCAAATTCGTCGATTCTTCAAGGTGCCACCGTACTACTTAACCGTTCGATCGTCAGAGGTTTATAAGCTCTGTACATTTGTACGTGCGGATGATAATATTGGTAATTAGATAGTTATTCTTCATGATACTTTGTTAAGAGCTTATTGTTTTTCTATTTTATTCATTATTGTTACTCTTGATGACTAGCGATAGTTCGTTGCCTACGCTTTTCACTAACAATTTTTCCTAATCAGATGTTTTCAAAATTTCTCGAGAATTATTCCGAATGTTATGTGAGATCATAAACCTCATTTGTTATTTGGTGGTTTGGTTGTCATGCTGAGTATATCCTTTTAATGTTGTTTGGTATGCTGATATGCTTAAGTGTTGTGTTTCGGTGAATTTTGGATTTCTTTGCATTTTTTTACTTTCCATGGCTTCTACTAATAGACATACTTACTGGTTGTTCCAATGTTATTATATAGACTGAATCTTTTTTTCACGTTCTTCTGATTGGATATCTGTAGCTGTCTGTGACAGTTGACGATATCGATTTTTCCACTACGTGTGCGCGTGCGCTGAGCTTGACTTGTAATCCGTGGCTATGCTAAGAGTCAGCTAGCGGCAAATTATTCATGGTCACGTACTGAATTGAGGGTTTACCAGTAAGTTTGTCAAAGTCTGTAATAAACATGAGATGTAGGCGTAGCAAAACCATTTGTCCAATCGGCGCTGAGGGGAAAGGGCGCCAATTGGTCAAGAACCATGGTGTCAGAGGTGTGTGGAAGCTGACCTGAAAAGTTTCGCTGAAGTAATGCCGCCACCATATTTTGTTCTGTATTTAGTTGAGTTTCACAATATTTGAAAGTAACCACACAGTTGGTTACCCAGTAAATTTTTTTTTTAGTTTGATGAGCTTGTCATGCAAAACAGCTATGTGGAAGCACTGTAAATGCAAATCAAATGTTCGTTTTAGCGCTTTGCTACAATTCTGGGTTTTGAGCAATCACAAGTTGTACCATTTCTTCATTGCACTGTCTGCTGTTTAGCTTGTTGGCAGTTGAACAGGTGTGTTCCGTTATCTTCACCTCCCTGATACTGTATATGAATGAAAATGCAGCATAAAAGCGAAATGCTAAGGTTTCAACTACGGTTCTAACTACGGTTAACCACGGTTTAGTAGCTCTACGGTAATACTCGAAGTTTTTTTTTTTGTGAATTATACAACTTAACTACGGTGCTATTTATGAAACTCGCGGTAGCCGTCTATAAATTAGCACCAGCCGTACATACAAGGGATTCCTTCATCATGGGAATGGGTGCATTTGCCCGTTTGGAGGTGCGCGCGGAAAATGGCGCGGCGATACCCGTGCGATTTGGGCGACTCCTGCGTTTATCATCAGGGCATGTACACGAAATAGCGATATCGATTTGTTTATTAAAAGGCACCGTTTACGATAAATTCAGGGTACCCTTTTTCGACGGGAATTTGTAGAACTACTCTAGAATAAAGCGATACAACGAAAAAAGCGCAAAAAACGATGAACAAAAAGAAATAGAAAGGGTCAAAAAAGAGCTGGAAAGGGGGGCTGGACGAGTTTCACATTGGAAGAACGGCGGTTAAGGGAGTGTTCGGGCGAGTGCACGAAGGCGACGGAATGTCTGCAATAGCAGACAACACACCCAAGCAGACAACTCGCTCTAATGCGAAAGTGATGAACGGCAATAAGAACTCGTAGTCAGATTGACGAGGGGCGGAGGCCTCCAGTCCCCCACTGTTCCTGCCCTTATTGTGCCCTATCCAAACCGTTTTCCGACCTCATTCCTGCACAAATGGTATCAGAGGGGGCGTCGAATTCAAACCATGCGCAAATCTCCGAAACTATTTTTCGTGAACAGTGCCTTTAAAGGACTCTTGTGAGTATATGCCGCGCAATTCGCCGCACGCGTCCATGTTCCGTTTCCCTGCTCACCTTTTTGCCCCATGGACGAGGTCTCCATCCACCTGTCACATATACGACGAATCTAAAGGAGAAAGGGCTGGGAAAGGATACTAACAATAAGTGGGTGGTTAAAGGAGGAGTATGGGCACATTCACCCAATTCTGGATGGACGCGGCAAACCGCGCGGCGAAATTCGTGATGATTTTAACACTCTGACGCCCATCACTGTGGCAACGGTATTAAGTAGACTAGTTACGTAGAGCCAGCTGATGCTACTTGTCTACCTTACCCCCAAGTTTGCACCATAACGACAGGCGCCATGGCCGTCTGTATCACCACGAGTTTCGCCGCACAGTTGCTGCGCCCATCCAGAATTGGGTGAATGTTCCGTCCCTCTTGAGTGAGCGGGGGTTTTGGTATGCGTTTGTGGGCTGGTTCCATGAGTAGAATAAGTAGCATTACAGGCAACGCAACCCAGTGAAACGGCCGTAGGAACACGAAAATTATGAGCTTCTAAAATAACGACACCTTACTAATTGCTTATTCATCATTAATACTACCGTTTCGTTACAGTCAATTCGATACTGGAAGAGATGCCCAAAGCAAAGAAAGCAAAGAAAGCAAAGAAAGAAAAGAAAGTACCGGAAGCACCACCACCACCAGTGGAAGTGTTAATAAGGACAGAATGCCCACACGGCCCATTATGTAGACATGATGATCCCGTGGAGGAATTCAAAATGGTATGCGTTCATTAGATTTTGCTTTAGGATTACTCCCTATGGTACACAACTTGTGTTTTTTTGAAGAGTTGTCAAATACTCTTTTAAATCTGAAACGTAGTATTAGTTATAAATTAGTTACTTATAGGTATGCCAGGAGCAGAAAAGCGCAGTTGTGGCAGCTATGAGAGCTGAAGCGGAGAAACAGGTTCGCATGTCACGCAGGGGAAATGCTAAAGCCAATCAGGAACCCAAGGTTATTGAGTTCACTGCTTACTGTCGGAGATCCGCTCCTGTTGAGGGAATGAAAGCGAATGAGGAGGATCAGGCATCCGAGTTACCAACCCCTCACGCTTCTCAGGTGCTCCTCAGGCCATACCAGGAGCTCCAGCTACCACCGGACATTCCGCCCTTCCCCGTGAAACAAGCCAATGCCTATCAGGAATATGAGGTAACTCAGACACCATTGAACACACCACACATGGCTGCAAGGAAAACCAAAGTCGCGAAGGCATCTCAGATGTTTCAGATGCCACCGGAATCTGCACAGGCAGCCGAAATTACAGCCAAAGTCGATCAGGCATCTTGTGGGCTTCAAACAACGTCGAACAGTCGCTCCATCGGAAGGAAAACTAAAAACGATCAGGCATCCACATTACCTCCGACATCATCAAGTACCCCAAGCTGTATCAAAAAGAGAATGAAGGTCGCGACATCAACGGACTCGCCACGGAGTGCGGAGCTAGCAGCAGAAGCCGATCAGGGAACTGATGCGCTTCCAAACTCACCGGATTCTCCACAGACCGCCGAAATCAAAATGAAAACCCAAGTGTTGACTGAAGCATATCAGAAGTTGGAGAAGTCCCTACGCGCAGCTGGTGCAGACCTCGGAGACGATCAGAAATTCGACTCACATGAGACACCTCCGCATTTCCCATGCTCCGACGGCGAGAAAATTACGGTCGATCAGGTATCTGAGTTGCTTGAGGCATCACCGGATTCTCCGCAGACAGCCGAAATGAAAGCCAAGATTGAACAACTGACTCGGGCTTATCAGGAACTTGGGATATCCGATGAGGAAAGCGAAGCCGGCACATTACCTCCGCCTCCCAATGCTTATGAGAACTCCCAATGTTCTGTGAACGGCGGAGGCGATCACTCAGCCAAGGCACCAAAGGACTTGTCAAGCAGCGAAGAAAACCATGAGATACCTGAGGACCTTCAAGGATTATTTGACGACCCGGAAGTACTAGAGAGCATTAAGAAGTTCTTGTTCTATGCCAATTTGAGTGATAATGACGATTCGGCATCGCGAAGACGTCTGAAGCCAGACATTTACGATGTGAAGACTGAGACGGTATGTATTTTAACCGTAATTCAATTCAATCAAGTTGCTTGGTGACGTTTTTTTGAGTGCTCCTGAATAAAGCAGGATTCTTCCAATCAACCCTTTAGAATTATTCAAATCAAGGGGAGTAACTAGATTATCACCAGACCATGCTTGCGTGATATGGCGTCACCTGCCGCTTTACCACCCCTTTGAAGCTGTAGATATTAAGATCACATTTTTTACTGGTAAAATTTCTAAGGGTCGTATTCCTATAACTTTGAACGTCAAATTTCTCTGTTAGTCTACTTAAATGTCTAGTTCATGACAATTTTGAGGCGCCTTTTTTGAGTATGAAGTGTTGATTGAGAGCATCGATAACGAAGAAAGTGGTATAAGAAAGTAGAGGTGTTAAGGAGACATTTGTGGAAAGATATTTTTCGCAATTGCGTGTAAGGTATACTACAGTAAGCAAAAATTCTAAAAAAAGCCTTTCACCATCGCCATGAATCTCTACTGATGGTTGGAGTTTTCAACATGTGTGCTCTGCTGTGAATAGTGCAGCCTCTTGTACTTTGTCGAAACAAGTCCACCTATAGGTGTAGGCATAGACGATAGCGATTTTAAGCCCTTGACTATATTTAGAACGTTTTCCGGTCCAACAGCTCCTCATGAGATATTCTAGGAGGGTATAGGTCCGTTTTACTCGTGGACCATTTCTATCGTGAGCCATTCCTTTAAGAAGCACTCAACTATAATGCTACCGACTTGAAGAGAAAAATTGGTGCATCGCTTCTATCGGGTAGTTCTTGCGGCTCCACCTATTCGCATACCGATCGATAACCGAAATGAAATTCTTATTTTTTTATTATAAGAGCCTGTATTTTCTCACAACCTCACCTGTATATTTTGCTATTCTTATTTTAGGATGAGCACATATTTGCAATGAGTACTAACAGTCGCCTGACATACATAGAAACTTATCAATGCCGCGCAGGTATGCCATTCCGGTAAATCATTTTTTTGGTTCGGGTATTACTAGTGTAAACAAATATGGAGATGCTTTGGATATAAATTCAAAATTTTTCAAATTTTCTAGCGACTAGCAGTTATTCAGTGTAAGGATAGTCGCTTTATCAGTTAAAATGTAATCATCAAGTCGAAAAATGGTTGGGTTGCTGGGCTATATGTTTCGAAGAAAATAGGAATCATATGTATATATCTCGCCGCGCGCGGTGCCGCTTTTCGCGCCGCGTGGGTAACGCGGGTGATGCGTGCCATCATGGGTTGCACGTTAATTATATTTCATTATATTTTTTCATTTTCATTTTGAATTTCGAAATTTGGAAGAAAGTGGAGTATGCAATTTTGCTGGCACATTTAATTTCGAAGCGTAACATTATTTGTGTTTATATTTTAACCTGGAAGCCTGAAAAATGACGATTCAGTCACTTCGATTTCCTAAAGTATCCTATACTGCTCAGTGTTTTGTAACCAAATATTCAATTAGAAGCTATGTTTTGTTTTTAGTGTTGGTCTGCCTACGTGAGTTCGAGATGCTTATCAAAAGTCGATCGGATGACCATCAACGCATCCGAAACGTTACCTTGAAGTCTGCCAAAGCTCTGAAGAATCTAATTAATACGGTCTACAATATCTGTCAATCTGAGAATCTGCTCATGGAGGTAATGAAGCGTAGCTTAGAAAAGGCATTTGAAAATTATTGTAAAGCTTCTGACTCTTCTTAAGAATCATGTTTCTGTTTGTAACTTTGTGCTACCATATTTGCTTATTGTTTTTTGCTTTGTAATGTGTCAGTGGTTGTGAAGATATGTACAAATAAACTGTTGTTGGAATGAAGCCATCTTGAGGTATTGCAGCAGAGGGGCAAAGCTTATCCGTGGCATTTCGTCTTGGTGCAATGTCATCGTAGCAAAGTAGTTGTAGCATTGTAGAGTAGTTCTCAACAGAAACTACTGTATCCTCATAATGACATTTTATCTGGGCCGGTATCGATTGGAGAGCACGAGTGTTACTATGCGGTTCTATAAAAAATCGCCACATACAAGTTTTACACGATGCAGAGCTAGCAATCAATATCGAGTGAAAGTATCGATTTTCCAATGGGGGCCATAGAAGGGGAGAGGGGCAGTAGTAACGGTTTTCTGTAATCGATTCGCGTCACGCGGCTGTCGCGGACCATTCCTTCGTCGTTATCACAGCTGTAGCGTTCTTCATACGGCTCAATCGATATCGATCCTTATTTTAGGCATGATTCTACTATTAGTTTCTTTGTCCCTGTATTTCTTACCTGCTGCCACATTCTGCTACGTTCCTTCGCGCACAGCGTCCCTCTGCCGCGACGCGACAATTTCGTTCCTGCTGCACCACACCCGCCAGAGAGTAAAGGCCGCCGTTAGCGCCGATATCTGATCCTCCGATACATACATCTAATTCTCTCTTGTATACGTACATCTCACAATCAGTCTGACATTCCCTATAGTGATGGGACCATTAAACACAATTATTGTCAATTCTCCAACTCATGTTTTTAGTATGGTTTTTGAAACTTATGCAGGAGTTGTTATGGTCACAGCCTCTTTTGGTTGCAATGCATTCAAGCTTTATTCCAATTATTCCCACACAGTATCATACCGTTTCTAATTAACATTAAGAAAATCCAGAGATCTTTGAGTATAGTTGTGCATAGATCCAATTTTCATGGAAGTGTTGTCGCCTGTTTTCATCAATTCAGTAGTCAATAACAGTCAGGTGAATTATAATTAAGTCTATGGATATGGCTTTGTTATAAACATTAAACGTAGTTATGAAATGGTTTTTCGCAGTATGCTTGTTTGGTGTTCGGCCAAGAATCCCATCGAGCACCTTGAGAGATTATTGCTTTCCCTATTCAACCTGATTTACGGTCGGACCGGGCCATTGTGTTCCGCTTCTTCATTTTTTTTCCGTTTTTAAAGCAACCTATCTCGACAAAATCTTATTTTCCACGAGTTGTTCGTCAATTGCCCGGTGCCAATGTGAATCAGTTTTTGTAGAGCATAAAAATTTGGAGTGTTTTTCGATTATGACGGCCTATTTGCCACACGTCTGTAAGTATGTAAGTGGTCTTGTATAATGTTACAATCTGAAAAATCGAGAAAGTCAGATTGTCCGTGCTTGACAGAATTCAAAGGACAAGGGTAGAATTAGAAGGAAGACTACAGTATCCATGGGAGATCAGCTACGAGATTCTTTACAACTCTTTACCTTATTGTACTGTTCACCTTATTGTACTGAGGTACTGTTTTGAAAGAGGATTGTAGCTGCTTTTGTAGCAAAGTACTCAAAAGTATAGTCGAAGTAAGCTAGCCCTCTCTTTTACTTACACATACCAATGAGTCAATGCTCCTTGCTTCGATGAAGCCTTTTTGGAGCTCGATCAGTGTCTGCTACCTTGCTCTAATTTGACTTTCGACTCAAGTCCGTCATCATAGCTAAGCAAAGTATAAATGGCCAGACAGATCGCCAACGCTCCGGTAACCAATTTCGGCTAGCGTTGATGAGTTTCACAGACTCTATAAGGAGCTTCTAATGCTTCTCTCGAAATTACATCGCATTATTTCCTTGCCCATGACCAATTCCTACAGTAACTGGTTTGTTGATGCATTTTCTTCTATATCATGTTTTTTCAACGAGTCTTCATCATGCTCTGTTGAATTTCCTTTCGCTTCGTCAAACTAATTGACGTCTCATATAGAGCTTTTGCTGAACTTCCCTTCTCACTTCACAACTCTACATTCCAGAATGATCGAATGCCATCTTGAAGTGGATCCTAAAGGATATATAACGTCTATGTTCGTATTGTCCGCAATCACACTCCCAGTGGATCTATTCGGGGTCTACTGTATTATCGCAAAATCGCCACCAATCATGAAAGAGTATTCACGTTTTCTTCTTATATACCAGATTTGCGCTACAGTAACCGATACATGGACAAACTTATTATTCATACCGATTGCTTTCCTTCCATTTCCCATTGTATACCATGCTGGTTTATTCTTTTCTCGAACCGACATAAGCTATTCCTATTTCTTTATTACATGGTTATGCCTGATTGTGACAACGATGGGTTCTGTTGTACAGCTATTCATATTCCGATGGCAAGCTATGCTCATGAAGGATCATGTACTTCGACTTAATAAGAAGCTTATTTATGCTATATGTTTTGCTTTTTTCTTTTTATTCAATGGCGCTGTAATAGCCGCCGGATCCACTATGCCGAATCGTATCGAAGAGCTCAAGCCCGTATACATTCAGGTAGATCTTATTTGCATTGAGGAAACAAGTGGCTTCTTACAAGTAACTTTATACTCGGTAGTAATAGGTAAGAGCAAATAATAGTAGCGTGAAGTAGTAAAGTGGATGCCGTTCTTTTGCATATAGCTTCATAGAATGTCATCTTCTCAACTTGATTCGAGTATATGTACTGCATTGCTTTTCCTATCTCGCCGATACAGTAAAGTAGGAATTTATGGGGCAGGAATGGGTAGACCGAGTGGAGAAACTGAAATCTCACTATGTAGAGACCATCTGGTCTTGGTATTGGTAGTTTCATCCCCTCTCCCCTTCCTTACTCCCCCATCCCTTTAGAAGGTTGATTCGTGAAAACTGCAAAACTGAAAACTTGAACAGAAATAGCGGGGATATGATTAGATTAAGTTGGATATAAAGTAAGAATCTACAAAGTATCTGCCCTTACTGCCCTCAAGTTTATCCACATAGAAAACTGTCAATAATATCTTCCCAACAGTATTTAAACGTGTTATACAATTGATGAGAAATCTTTCAGAACTATTCCTGTATTGCCGAAATGGTCAACTTTCGTGGAGTCCAATATTTCAATTTGGGAGATTATCGACGGCTCTTCTTTGTCACTACCGTAGGAGCTACCGTAGTAGTCACTACGGCGCTCTTCCTAGTGTACTTGACTTCTCGGTCTTTACAAACCAAGAACGTTTCACAGAAGACTGTTGATATGCAAAGAAGATACCAGATATCGCTGATTTTGCAGGTAACTTTCTCAGATTTTAGCATGAATCACTTAATTTCAGCTATTATTTCGAGTTGCCTATGCGGAAATAGCAATAATACGTAATAGTAACCCATAATACGACATGAGTAATAGGCATAGTGCCCAACTATTCTAATCCTCTACTCTTTTTCATGTAGCTTACTGAGATACATTGATAAAAACTGTCAAATGGGAACTAAGGAAGGAAGGAGGTAAGTAGGGCAGTCCTGGTTGAAAAAATCATAGTAAGGATCATTCAAAATTTTCCACATCCACACAGGGCCACTCCCAAATGGGCGTGCATGCGTCGTTACTTTATTTTTACATTGCTATTATGTATAGGAGAATTTTAGCGACAAAAGAAACTTGTGAATAAGGCTGTACTTCTCTTACGCTAAATTCCTTGAATTTTTCACTAGAATTCCTATACTACTCTGAGGATATTGGCCTCTGGTACTGTAATTCACGTCTGACCTTTCCCTCACCTCAATCGCTATGGCTAGTCTAACAATAAGACTAGCTTGGCTAGCCTGAAAGTGAGAGCATTATACCTGCACATCTGTAGCCTGAATCCTATTGAAACGAAGTAGCCCAAGAAGGAGACGAAGTATCACCTGACAGAGGCACTGAGTTTCACCTCTGACCTCGTGAAAGATGTAGATGCTTCTCGGGGAAAAGCTAGAAAAGCCAGCTAGAGCAGCTGCCGCAGCAAAATAATTAATTTTTAATTGAATGTAGTGAATTTGCAAGTAAAGTATCTCCGTTCAAAACAACGAAGTGTTCTCAATGTTCTACGCTTACACTGGAATTGGAAAACGATCAACTCTACTTGGTAAATTATACTGTTTTCCGAATTCCAGGTGGTAATCCCAATATTTGTCGTTATTGCACCTGGATGTGCTGTTATGATGTTTGGAGCGTGGTCAGACATCAACGTTTCAATATCGTACATCTCACAAATACAAGGTATATCCTCATTAATTATTGCTGATTTCTCTGTATATGCAACCTAACTGGAAAATAATTGCCCTGATAAAAGCAGCTGTGACAAGCATAGATCTCGAAGTCGCGGGGGCTTAATTGTTGTGCCAACTCGGCAAGTTCCCATTGTTTTTAGTATGTGGAGCTAGTTAGTAAATGTGGCGTTGCAGAGACAACTGAAGTCCACATTCTATGAATTCTGGGCAGCTTTTGATAGCCCTGGCATCAGAATTTGTAGGAATGGGAGGGAAAAGTCTTTTGACGTTGGCCATTCCCCTTTTGGGATGTGTCCCTCACCCACATGATCACGTGTCGAATCCTTGCTTGGTATTGCCTAGGCCAACCGAGCTTCCCATCCCTCTTAGATAGGCAAATTGGTGCCAAACTTGTCTGGGAGGATAAAACCACTGACTTGGACATCAGCTGGCCACAGCAAGCCATTTTATGGGCCACATACATCTTATGAACGCCACTACGATTTTGAATGGAAGTCAAATGTGCGGGCACATCTTTCAGACGGAGTTGATGTGTATCCAACGAATTTAAGACTTTATGTGGCCCGAACAAGGACTTCCTCAAGCCAAGCGATGTATAAGTCAGTGTTTTGATCTCCTACTTGTTTGATACCAGTGAACCGAAAGGATAGAAAGCTCGGTTGGGCTCAACGGGTGTAAAACCGTGATCCAATCCCCGACTCCCCACTTGGTATTACAGTACATCCATCGTAACTATGGTAGTGGTACCACAAAACACAAAAGTCGAGTTTTCAGTGGCTACCAACGTTGTTCTGAGTTTGATCTCGTGTCATGGACTATTTGGTACTGTTATAATGGTTTTGGTTAATCAACCGTACCGACGTTTTGCTAGCGATTGCGTTCGAGCATGCATGAGCATCTGTATGCGTACTAAGCTTACCGAAATGGAACTACGTCGACGAAGATCTGTTAGTACTGTACAAACTGGTTGGTAATAAATGTTTTTGAAACACTTGCACTATTGTCGTTCAGAGTCAAGTACGAGATGCTCGACTCTCATCATTGGCAGCCAACAACTAAAGAAGCTCGGAGACAAATCATCAAAAACCCTCCCAAAGTGGTTACAATGTTTTTTTTAAACCCTTCTTGTATTTGCGCAAATTGCCAGTGCGTAACATCATAACAATTTAACGAAAATAATGGGTTCCCTTAAAGTGTTTACAGGCCCTTTCACCTTAGTCAACGTACGTAGCCGCGCGGTACTTGCCGCCCCTAGTGTGTGCCATTAGGTCAGATCGCGAATTTTCTATTTGTGGCAAGCGACTCTGACTGACGACACTTTGTAATTTTTTTGTCATTCTCATCAAACTTGCAACCGTCATAAATAAAACAAGGGTAGTTTGTGATACCAGAACAAAAGAAATTTACTGGTAATGTCCTTTGTTATTTGAATTGCTCGAATCGCTACTTGTTGTCATATCGCCTGGTCCCAGTAGGGTTTAAATGTATTTTTGGCTTGTTTACACGCGAGGCAAATTGATCATTCCCTCCAGTTGTCATGTTTTCTATGTATCTACTCCAAAGTTGATTAGCGTTTTGTCTTAACAATGTGTCGATACAATGTTCATTTCATCTGTAATTTGTTTCTCAGCAATAAAAAGCTAACCAGTTACCAGGGGTGCCAAAATATGTGATGAAAATAAGTCTTAGTGCTAGACTGTCCAGAAACGTCACCTTAATCTCAATCATATCAAAGTGGCAGAGAGGAGTTTATGCAAAGAATGGAAAGCCATGGGACAGAAAGCGAACTCTCGAAAGGAGAATCTATTCAACATCGAAATCCCAAAGTTTGTCGCGTTGATTAATCCCATTCAGGATGAACCCCGCGCTCGTTCTACTTCCGTACAGAGTAGTAGTGGCTTATGAATGAGTATGTTATCAGGTAGTCAACCTTCTAGATAGCACATCTTGGTAAAGTATGCGTTCATAGAAGAATCCACCTTTCTCAAAGAAAAGGAGAGTCGGTGGGCACGCCTGCTCAGCTGGTCTCACTTTGTAATGAATTCGTCAAACGTGTAAACTTATGCGTCTTTCAGTCCAGAGCTAAGGGTAAACTCTCCAAAGCAGCATAGATGTCGATGAAAAGAGAGGAATAAGGAAGGAAAAACCGTGGGAATGGACTCAAAATATTCTATAAAGGTGACGGTGTACCTTTTAGGATGCGCCATGTCCCTTCAATTACAAGGTATTCGAACCTCTCTACCTGTGTACTGTTTCGATTTAGAGGTTTTGTTAGAACTAGTAAACTGTACGTCTTAAGTGTTTTCGCCTGGTGGTACTCTCTTCATTTTTAGGAACTCGGTACTACTACCAAAGCTCATATCTGTATCTATGATTTTCTTCCGATCCTAATAAATTGAAACTCGATGAGAGTTTGGCTAAGTTTCCACTAGTATCTCATATTCAATATTAGCACGCACATCCTTTTCGTCTCCAGTCGTAGGCGTGGTCTTTGAATAATCCCTTCGATCTGTAAAATCGACAACAAATGATTTTGACGAGCAAACGACTGGGATGTAAGTAACTGAAATGGTAATGGAGCAGTATTTCTTCTTTTACATGTGAAAGCGATGCTTATGTAGATAGCTTTTCTTGAACGGTATGATTACTGACTCCTCTAAAGAAGTATGTGGCGCAAGCCTGAGAATGCTTCTGCACGTGGGTAAAGAAACCCATGTCAGGGAAGGCCCCTTGATATCGGGCCCCACTTAGGGAGAAGAGGAAGGAGGTGTCGTTGACGCATTGTTGTGACATATCCCCGTCTACACGATTTACAGGTGGAAAATAGCATCTCAGATGAATTTATTTTCAATACAGAAGTATCCAGTTGAGTTTTCTGGCTGACTACTGACCCCACCGTTTCGATCATACTTTCGTAGACCCTCCTTGCATTTCATTTTGGGCCCATTTGATCGGTTGTCGGGCTTCGTTTGATTTGCCGATATCAGTACGAAGTGATCTTTATGGTCCAGTAGTAGGGTTGAAACGAAAGCGGAGGAAAAAGAGCTTTCCCAATTCCAGAAACGCAATTCTTCGAACTCAGCTTCGGGGAAGATTACTGTGCTCTTTTGTCCTGGTTAGCCCCACTGCTTCTTATCTTCACTGCTTCCAACTATGTCGTTCAGCTAGAAGCTCTCTTTTGAACCAAATATTTTCAGAGCTTAAATAGTACATGTCCCAAAGAACGATAATTCACTCATTCACGAATTTATTCCCTGGTAATTTTTAGAACATACCGCACACAACAACACAATAGTTACCGAGAACACCAAGCCAAAACAAGTCTCAAAACTAATTCAAAGGAGTTCATTACGCCGAAGGGGGCCACGCTTATTCGTGGATATCATGTGATATTATCACTCTTGGAAATGAATAGTTGTTGACCTGTTCCGTAAGTGCCAAGGAGGAAGTACGCTTAATTGCATCGGAAACACAATTTGTGCTATAACTATACAGGTGGTAACAGGCTTTAACAGCGTTGTATAAACTCTTTATTAGCTGTTAGCCTTCAGTAGTGGCACTTGTTGGCATACCAAAGGGATTAGAATACTTCGCCTCTCTAGAATTATTGGTTCCAATTTGTGTATATGTATTGAAGTTCGGTTTTTCTAAGTCAAATTCGATTTTTTTGAATGTGTAAACATGTCGGGCACTAACTAGAAGTTCGCCTTTGTGAAGTGAATCTTCGAGGTGGAGGAGCAGTGAGTCAGTTGCCGATACGGAGTGGTACAAGAACTCAAAAATCACCTTTTTTATTGTCTGCATTTGATCGCTCAGTTGATTACCGTCGAGTGGGATGTGGGCAGTTTTTTGCTACAGCTCCCTCCCACACGACAGTAATCAACTTGGCGATCAAATTATGCTTAACGGCTGAGTCCATGAATATATGAGCAAGGAAGTGACAAACATATTAAGTAGAACTCTAATCTCTTGTCACGAACCACCTTGACGGTATGGATGAGCAGCTGAATAACAATGGGTTTTCTAGTAATGAATCTGACATTGTTACTGCAAACCGTCTTTTGTCTACTAGTGTCATAGTGTCTGAAGAATCAAGGGTTCCAAGTTGTGAGGGAAGGCTAGGTATATGAGGGGATCCTGTGAAATAAGATTTATCGTCTGAGGACGAACTTCTTCAATTTGTCTCCACGTACGCTCTTCCATCAAGTTCCCCATGGCTGTAACTTGATGTGGACTGTTTTAGAACCTCATAAGGTTGTTACAGAAATCTCTTTTGGTTACTTGCTTGCCCTGGGGGTTCTCGTACTTCCGTAGGGTTGCGGAAACGTTTGATCGGATATCTACAGACATGCG